AAATGGAAATGAATGCGAGTGCGAGATGCGTGAATAATATTTAATAAAATTGAATTAGCTGTGTGCATATCGCACAAATCATCTGGCGACGTCAGCTGGAAATCTCTCTCTTTTTGGCCAAATTGTGATGACGATGAGAAGAGTCTCAGACTAAACAAAAGTTAAGGCCTTATTAAACTGTCATCGTGTCATTGGTTCAGAACACTGAAACAAAGAAAGAAATGCTTTCTCCTTAATACAAAACAAGTTAATATAGAGCCTACAATAAAAGTCTAGAAATGAAACAAGAATGACAGCCTTCAAATTTGTTTTATGCTTTTTAAAGAAAGTTCAAGTGAAACCCTACAATTATTTGCTTGAATAGATAATTCTCTCAGTGACACAGGACCTGGCTACGAGACCAAGGACCGGGGAGCAAAAGTCCGGAGACCAAAGTCCGAACAACTAACGACGACATGATGAAGCGTAAACAAACATGTCCAACTTGGAGACAGGCGGCGGACAAAAACTGGGCGCTGCCGAAAAGTAAAACAAAATGAAATTTTATTTTGCATTGGAAATGATTTCTGTGACGGTCCTTCGAAACCCCCGCCATGCATGCTTTGGATTTTTATTTGTATTTCGAATGTTTTTGCGAAAAGTGCCAGCAGCATTTTTAGCCAGAGTCCATTTGCTAAACGCCATTTGCCGCCTCCCCGCTTGCCCCTTTGTTATTTTCCAGCCAACTAAGAGTAGTTCTTCCTCTATTTTTTTTTTTTGTTTTGCCCCGTTGCTGTGTGATTTTTGCCATGCCCCGAAAAGTTGCAGCAGAGAAGCTGGCCACGAAAAAAAAAGCTGGAAACTCTCGGAGGGCACAGACACACACGTAGCTGCCTGACTTTCAAACACCGGCGATGGAGATGGAGATGGAACCAGGGAACCTGGGAACCTGGGAAGCCTGGGAGAGACTGGACTCCAAGTAGATGACCCGCATGAAAATGCTGGCCCTGGCATATTTTTATGCCGCAAGCATGCAGGACAAATGGCTGAAATTTTTGCAGCTCCTGATGATGACGAGGTCCGAAGGGCAGGCAAGGATCGAGGGCATTGGGCACTGGGCAGCAAGGACAACGCCGGTTGCAGTTAGTTTTCGACATGTGTACGTGGCCCGCCATCAGCAGTAGTGTCTGGCCGATGCAAAAAGTCTCTTTTTTCTCCCTTACAGCCCATGGCTTATAAGGCTACCATCACACTGTTGCAGCAAAGCACTTGCAAAAAATTTGATCTTATTTTGATTACTTTGACTTGAAGCGTAGATAAAAACAGTTTCCACATATAAATGTATAAGAATTACAATAGGAAAACCTCTTATATAAACCTCACATATAAATATATTCAAATTAGGATAAAAAAACCTCTTAAAAAGGTTGAATAAATATATATTACGCGTGCACTAAGTCTTAATGCTGTTGATTGATACTATCAATCTGTTATAATAATTATTACATACAGATTCATATAAGATATTCTAAATTAATATCTTAAGGACAAAGATAGTCAAAAGTTGAAAATGTCAGAATATTTAAAGATTCATTTCTTGAAAAACTCTTTCCCCCAGAAAATACTCTCTGTTTACTTCCTTGTTTGCTACCATTTTCTCCAAGTACATCCACAGTTCCTTCCGTGTATAGTACGTGTGGAGACACTATATATATAGTATGTGTATATATATGAAAGGAGAAATTGAACAAGTCGTTTGTCGGCTGCCCTAGGAATTTATGTGAGCGCGCTGCTCGAGTTGAAAATTAAACATTGCGTATACGCCTAGGTGCATAATAATTCATGCCTGGAGTAGCGCCTGCCATTGCTCACCAGGCGACTGCAGGCGAAATTGTGTGTAAAATGTTTTAATATGAGCTCATAATATACGAGCCACAGACGGGGCGGAACTGAGTTTGAGTCTGAGGCTGTAAGAAGGGGGGCACTTGCCACCCAAAAGTGAGTGGACACCGCAGCTCAATTTGTGATTTATGGACATTGCCTTTGGTATACAAGGGGAAAACCCCCCGATTTCGGTTATTGAAGGAGCGTATTGGCTTGCAAGTGTTGTCCTTTGTGCTGCTGCATTTCGGGGCCAAAGGCCATGAAATTTTATTGTTTAGTTTGCTGGCTGGTCAAGGCGTGCGATATGCCTAAAAATGGCTGCCAGCCGGATATCCTGTGGCACACGGCCTGCAATTGAATTTACATTTGGTTGTTCTACACTCGCACTCGGAAAAAACACACACACACAAAAACACTGAGGACCTCGTGCGCTTTTTGCTTGCAACTTTTTGGCATTTGTTCTCGTACCTCTGTTGTTTTTTGGGACTTTTCTTTTTTTTTTAATTGAGCTGGAACTTGTTTGTGCTCTCGAGGACACCCTGGGATACCAATAATAAAATTCTATGATGTTTACTCGCCCGGTCAGTGAGGCGTAACCCGGTAGTGGCTTTAAGGCCACAGAACACAGCTCCCGTCTTCCGATCGAATTGGGGGGGAAATTCAATCAGGAACTGACCTAATTATAATCTGCGTAAATCCTACACACAAAACACACCGCAGCTCTGATTTTGTTTGCGTTGGTTATTTTTTAATTTTTGTTGTTTGCTTTAAGCTGCACATTTAGTAGTTGGTTTCCATTACCGAGCTGGCCAGCTCGTGTGGTTAGCGTATTTTTTTTATTTTTGTCGACAGTCGAACTGAAAAATCAATTATGCCCTGCCTGGTATTTAATTAAATGTTGTTGCCATTGTTTTTTTGTCGACTGCATATTAACGCAATTATTGAAAAGGGCAGCGACGGACAGGCTTAGGCGTTTGATATATATTCAATATTTTATTGTGCAGCCACGCCCGCGGCAGGTGGTGGTGCGCAAAAAAAGGAAATATTAACAAACAAAAAAAATACCTATGGAAAGGTGCTGCAGATGCATTCGTGCTGGGCGAAATGCAATTGTGAAGCGTTTTGCAAATATTTTAGCACTTTTAAATAAATACATGCCGTCGGGGAACTGCACTTTGGTTGAATTTATGGCTGCAAAAGTTAAAACGAAAGCCATGCCAAAAAATGGCACCGCTCACGTTGACTGGGAATGGCATAAAATTGGCGTGTGTGGACGTTTCCAACAAATTCAAATATTATTTTTGTTTTTTAAACATTCTTTGTATTTTTATTGCCCAGAAAGCTGTCCCTAACTTCTTTTATTATTCAGGGGTATCTCTATTTTTATCAGTTAATCTACAAAAATGCGGTAATACCTTGAATCTTGGTAAAAATTGCATTCAAGTTGCATTCACAGTCTTTTGTTGTCTGTCTAGATTGCCTTAATAAATGAAACCGAGAGAGTTGTCCTAAGGTCACGACTGAATTTTGGCCAATTATTTGATTAACTTGCCGGATTGCTTTCACAAATTGGTAATATCAGTTTACACTTGCGATAATCTCAAGTAAACACATGGGCCAAGGCTAAGCCCTCAGGAGCCCTTTACTTTTGCTTTTGATTTAAGTCAATGCACTGGAAAAGTTACACTTGAAGAAAGTATTTTTATGACAATTTATAACAAATAAATAATATACCAATACTGTATATTAATTTAAGCCTTAATGTAATTATCCTTTGTTGCCTAATTTATATTTAAACATTAATTTGTACCAAAGTAATCCGATGATTTCGAGTGCATTTTGCTGGCCAGTTTGACCCTCTCGTTGCCTGAATGGGTTCAAGAGCCCACACCAATGTCATTGACATGCCGCGAAAGTAAAAGCCAAACAAAACGTACACCGCCGGAGGGCCATGGACCAGGACATTATGGGGGGAGCAGAGTGGGCCACATTCCGACCTGGTCTGGCCAGGACCAAAGGACCCTTTTTGCCAAACTGGGCAATATTCAACGATATTCCTACCAACTGCCGTTAATTACACAAATGCAAAAGTCTGCTGAGCGGCCAAATTGGTCGGTAATAAATAAATTCAATTGAATAATTTATTTAATTTATTTTCGGGTGCTGCCGGAGCGTGACACCTAAAAAGCAGTAAACAAAAACAAACTGCCCCTACACCTGTGTATGTGTATGTGGCAGGTGGGCAGATCGGAGTGAAAAAAATGTGCCCGGGATGCGGAAGTGTGCAGCAGGCTGACAGCAAGGTGTTAGAATTTGGTGCAGTGCAAAAAATACATAAAAAAGAGGAGACATAAAGCAAACGACAAATGGCCAGCGGGGCTGAAACACATTTTTCACACTGGCCATAGGTGGGATAAATGAATGTGTGTGTGGCACCGGCCAAGTGAATTTGAGGAACGAAAACAAATCGTTTAATTGGCTTTAAGCAAAACGTAACCATTTGCCGATTATATAACCACCATCCAGGTCCCAAAAACTCAAACCCAGCGACAATGGCGTTGACAGCGCCGTCGACGGCGCCAGCGACTGCGACGTGAGATAAACCAGTTTATATATAGTTGTTGGCCAGTTTCTCCTCCGCCCTCCAGCCACCGCCCCCGCCTCTGCCTCTGCCTCTGCCTCACTTAGCCTAACCGACATCGCTGCTCCGTTTTTTAAGAGCAAAACTGACGCAAGGGTGGCGCAGCAACCGCAAGAGACAACCAACACCAGGCGTTACCGCCGCACAACCGATCTCAGCAACGGGTTTTATTTTCGGTGTGTGTTATCACAGTAGCCTTCGGCTATGGCAAATGTCTAAAGCTTGCACTTAGCTAAGAGTGCCTTGTAATGGCTTGGTTTTTCGGGTTATAAATTCCAGGAACAGGAGCTTACTTCAACCCATATTTCAAAGTTCATTAAATAAATGTAAGTGCTTCCCACTTTGCATAAGATGTGCCTACACCCAGACTCCACTGTAGCTACTCCGGTCTAAAATCTGGTCCGACCCGACCCCAGACTTCGTGTGGGCCATCCAGCGAGAGCATATAAAGATAATGGAAAATCTTGGCTCGACTTAGTCGATCAAACCCGTTCGTTGGCACATTCGCACTTGAGCACTCGTTCCAGCCAGAAATGCAGTCCCACACGCTCCTGTTGATCGCCGCCGTTGGCATCGCCATCGTGGCCCAGGCCCAGGTCAGTGCCCAGTGGTTGCCCTTGCTGATGGATGTGACTCCTTACCCCCGACTTAATTTCCAGGCAGCGGCCAAGTTCCAGGTGAAGAACCACGACGATGCCGAGAGGGCCTTCGAGGAATGCCGCGAGGATTTCTACGTGCCGGACGACATCTACGAGAAGTACCTGAACTACGAGTTCCCCGCCCATAGGCGCACCAGCTGCTTCGTCAAGTGCTTCCTGGAGAAGCTGGAGCTCTTCACGGAGAACAAGGGTTTCAACGAGAAGGCCATGATCGCTCAGTTCACGGTCAAGAGCAACAAGGACCTGGCTACCGTGCAGCATGGCCTGGAGAAGTGCATCGACCACAATGAGGCCGAGTCGGATGTCTGCACTTGGGCTAACCGTGTCTTCTCCTGCTGGCTGCCCATCAACCGGCATGTGGTCCGCAAGGTTTTTGCTTAGAATTGTGATAGAATTCGATTGGTATACTTTAAATTTGTTTAAGAAATGAATTGATACTAATAAAAATAACATTTTCTTTAAAAAAATGATTCATTTTCAGGTATTTACAAGAGTGCTTTTTTGAGTCTTTCAATAAAATATTTGTTTTCCTTACAAACTTTTGTTCTTTCTAAACTATCTTTTATTTTTTTAGCTCTTTAACTATATATAATCTATATTTTGTCTAAATTTCCTTTAAAGTTTATTCTTTCTTTTATTCTCTGAGCATTTCTTCTCATATTTATTTATCAGTTTCTTACTAATTCTACTTCTTTACTACTTTTTGATTAAGCTCTGCAAAACTACTAGGAAATTTACAGTTTAATTAATTTCATTATCACTTAGCACCATAGCATCAGAGCGGTTTTAATTATGGATTTCTAGAAGTATCTCCAAAGTCATTTCTCAAAATGGTATATTCCACGTATTGTAACTTGTCGATTCTCGAAATTTACAGATAACACGAAATAAAGCTATTCACCCCAATCCCTCAAATGATATTGCCATATATCAGCACTTAATTACTATAGTAATTATATAATTGATTTCATAACCTCTAGTATATAGCATGCAAGCATCCTATTCTACCTATTAAACTTTCTCAAATCAATTCAAGCTCAATTGTTGTTCAAGTGTTATTAGAACCGAGTCTGTGTGAAACTGACCTAGTCCAAGGCAAGCTGGCCACGCGCTAACAAATCTATTCTGTGCATCCACATCTCAAATCTCACATCCACTCCACGATGCTGCGACTGTGAACTGGGGATTCGTTGAACTTGCTGGCGTAATCTAGAGTCGTCACAGCGATAACCTCCTCCTCCGCTGCAACGGCGGCAGCTGATCGTTGACTCCGCCGGCGGATGTTTTCGTAGCTAGTTCAGTTTGTGCATTGTCCGCAGTTAGATGGGTTTTCCGTGGAGGATTTTACTAAGCCTTCTCTTGCTCAGCAGCCAGGTGAGACGCTTCCTGAGGCAGAAATAGAATCAGTCATAGAAACATTCCATCAGGTCTTAGCTGACCTCGCCAGCGATGCCCAGATGCTGGAGAAGTGCGTGCGAGAGCTGAGCACTCCGGAGACCATTTCCGGTGATCTGCAAAAGCTGGAGCGGTATCCGTTGTGGACCAGGGAGGAGCTGCCCTGCCTGATGCGATGCCTGGCCAGTGAAAAGGGTTGGTTCGATATCGAGGCAAACCAGTGGAAACTCAAGCGACTCTCTGAGGATCTGGGACCCGATGTCTACAACTACTGTCGCTTCGAGTTGCGGCGCCAGGCCAGCGATGGCTGCACCTTTGCCTACCGCGGATTTCGGTGCCTCAAGCAGGCCGAGCTTCATGCCGGCACTAGCCTGAGCACTCTGCTTCTTTGTGGTCGCCAACTGAATGCCACAAATGTGGAATTGCTGCAGTACAGCAAACTGAGGTCCGAGGAACCGATTCCGTGCCTCTTTCAGTGCTTTGCAGATGCCATGGGCTTGTATAACCGGACGACCGGAGACTGGAGACTGTCCAACTGGCAGCAGGCCTTTGGGCCAACGCGAAACGGGGATCAGCCCAGTGCTCCGGGTTACAGTGGCTGCCGGCTAAGTGAAACGCAGCGTAAACAGGCGGTTAACAAGTGTGCATGGATGTACCAGGAGTACAAGTGCTGGGAGCGTATCAATGGACATGATTTGGAGCCTCAAGGCCAAGATGCCTTCTAACATAAATCTGTATTAATTATTAAAAGTTACTAAGTTATATCAAGAAGATAAGTTAACCTTAAAACTCCTATTTCACTTTAGAATGTAGTTAAGTTTACATAGACATTCTTTATTCAAATTTCTTGTATATATATTTCTCTTCTTACTCAAACGGCCAAGACGTAGCAGGTGAACTGTTGGTAGTATGTGGCACATGGATTGCGACCCCTGCGCTGGTGGCAGGCGCCATAGTGAGCTCCCTTGGCTGGAACGCCCAGTTTTTGTTGCATGGCCGGAATGCGCCAGCGGCGTAGCTTCTGATCAAATACACCCAATTTGTCCAGGAAACAGCGTGTGTAACACGGAATTGGCTCAATGACAGGGAAGCCAGAGAAGGCACTGAAACTGCTCCACTCATCCTGGTCTACCACCTGCAGGCAATCCTTCATGGCATCCTTGGCCGCCTTGGTTAAGTTTGGCATGCTTTCGATCACCATAAAGGGATGACCCTCCATCTTCAAGCGAAAGAAGTTATTTGAAATAATACCAAAACACATGGAAAATATAGAAAAGGTAACCAAATCTTGGTTCGTGGGCGAATTTAGCATCTCAAGCAAGCAGAAGCTATTTTAATCTGAGATCACTGAACTCGACTTATCACGGACTACTCACTTTGGTCAGACAATGAAATCCCGCATAGGCATGCGAACAGCTACTCTGGCCAGATCCCTCTGGCAGCTCCAACTTCTGTTGGCAAGCCGCATAAATGGGAGCTCCAAAGACCCTTTCGACACCAGCACTATCAAATCCTGTCTGATTATTGTAGAAATCAAACATATCACTGAGATAGCACTGTGTAAAGCAGGGAATCTCTTCATAGCTCTCTGACCATTCCTTGAAACGTTCCAATCGTTCACCAAGCTCTGGAGTCAATCCTCCGTAGCTCTGAATGCACTTGTTGATGGTCTCACCCTCGTGATCCAGCAAAGCCTGGCTCTCCATCTATGAAATACAGGAAACTTTGTTCCAAAAACTCCTTCAAATATTGATTTTTGTTGCCCACCACAGAGAGCCAAAGGCATATGGCTACCAGGAATCCACTCCACATTTGCATGGCTTGGCAATTATTTCTATTCTATTTTTTCTAGCAGTTTGCTACACGTTCAGCGCTTGATTAAATACTGAAGCTCAGGCGAAAATGTCATCAACCACCTCGCAATCATTAGAGATTAGACACGGAAATAAAAGCAACATACAAGATAATACAAAATAATACATAGCATTCATAGACAATTATTAAATTCAAATAAATATTCTTTACATTCCCTTTTGATTTGACTATCATCAAAGTTTTTGGAATAAAAAGTATTGTTTAACTTAAAATGAAAGTGAAAAGTATTATAAATAATTCTGCTGCCGGAAACATTGTTAATTATCAACTAAATACTTTTCTGTCAAGTAAAGCATAAAGTAAAAGAATTCCTTGCCACACCAGATTTATTTACAGTGTGTTAATATGCCACACTATGTAATTGATAACCCAATTTTCGTTTAACTCAAGTTCAAACCGAGGATGCCGAATCGGCAGCTGATAACACACCCCAAATCACGGCTCCCGGTTCAAGTTTTCGGCCTCGATTGCGCAAAAGAACCTCAAAGGCGGCAATCTCGATTGCGCAATGATTTGCGGATCGTGGATTGCAGATCGAAGATTGCAGATCACAGATCGCGGTTTTGCCGGTGCCGATGGGCCCGCTGCCCAGTTGCATTTTTATTGATCAACACCTGCCAACGGGGCCACAACGGCAGTTTTGCTACCATCGAATGCTGTTAATTGATTTTGTGTTTTTGTTTTGGCATTTTGCCCGGCCGGCCACTTGTCTGTGTTTTGGCTTTTAATAATGTCTTCTCTGCCCGGCCTGGGCTTGTAAAGGAGCGACATCGTCGTCCCACTTTACGCATTTTTGAGCAACAATCCAACCGGATTCGGGTTTCGAGACGAAAAACATGTTTAACAAAACACGTCGCATCATCGTCCACATCATCCCGGGACCGATGAAGATCTCTTCATCGTCGCAATTGCAAGTGGGCAAGACAGCAAATAACTCCAAAGTGGTTCTGCCGGATTGGCCAAACAGTCAACAAAATCAACACTTCCACGAATCCCCAGTCACTCGGAGAAATGAATAACAATTCTATGAATTGATCAAAACAAATTATTATTTGATTTTGTAAACAATTCAGTGAAAAGACACATTTATATATAATCAATATATATAAAACATAGTCTCAAACTTTTTTGTTTTTATTATTTTGTGTGTCTAAGAATATAAATACCATTTACTTCTTGTTTCCGTGTAATACAAGTATTCAACTATTGCTTCCTTTCTAATTTTGCAAAAATGGTTAATTAACTACATTTCAAAACTTGCATTAAAAATGTACATCTATGATCATATGCTATAAACTTTAAATTTAGTATGTAAAGTTTTGTTTCTGTGCACGTTTCCCCTCACAATTTCTTCGCAATGACCTTGGCTCGTTTTCTTGCGTGTTTGGCCGTAAATATTATAAATCCAGTTTTCGATTTCCTCTCTTCTTTCACTCTCGCACAGTCACAAATTTGAACAAAAATTTTCGTTATATAGTTAATTGTTTTGCCCCGCCGCCAGTTTTGTTGCCAAACGGCTTTCGGTGGGGCAACCGCGATGACAACGATGACGACACAGAGCAGCCCAGCCAGCACCACCAGCACCACCAGCACCACCGCCTGATGCTGCAGGAATCAGCACAGACAGGCGATAAACTGGACTGGACTGGATCGTAAAAAGATGCGACGATGCAGCCGGGCCTGAGCCTGACCTTTGGCAATTTGAAATGCAGTCTGCCAGCCTGAATGCAGCTTTGGCAACTATGCGTTTCTGGCCCAAAGACGGGGCGATTTCGAAACGATCCCAGAGCCAGTCTTTGCATTTTCATTGAGACCGGCTCAGCATAGATTTGAATACATTTCGGTTGAGCAGCGACGACCTGTCGCATTAATTTCTTTCCTCCCGCCAAAGTCCGCTGAATTTATTGAGAAGCTGGAATTTTAAAGCGTTTCTTTTGTGCGAGTTTTTTCAAGGTTATAACCCAGTTTCTGCCAGGGTGCGTTCGTACGTTTTTTTTTTGGCAACAGTGTTTTATGGTGAGAAAGAGACCTGAAGCCCCGCTTGGGACTGAAACTGAAACTGAGACGAAAAGCGAATTCGATCCGATTCGATTCGTGTTCAATGCATTAACAAGCCTTTTGATAAAAGGCAGGCAGATGGCCCGGACCGATAACAATGAGCTCGCGTGTCCTTGGCTCAGTTGGGGAAACGAACTTGCCACTAAATGCAGGCCAGCTGCGTTTAATGACATTTATAAATTGGGCCTGGCAAATATAATTAAAAATACATCAACTTATTGCGCGCAAGGCTTGTGCAATTTTTGGCACATTTGCCATGCAAATCAAAGCAACACTTAACGGGGTTGCTTCTGCTTCTGCTGTTCGGAGGGTTTTGCCTTTTTTTCTGGGCTTGGCGAGAGGGGTGCCCGTGAAATGGCCATAATTAAAAATACATCTAGGCGGCATGTGGATTTTATGAGTGTGTCCAAGTCCAGCAGCTGGACCGAAAAGCCATATCGTACCGAAAACGAAAGTGAGCTCACACGGAAAGAAATAATATCAAGTCTCTTTTTTAGATGTTTTAGTGATTCTTCTCTAGAAAAACTCAGACAAAAAAAGATGTAATCAAAGCTACAGAAAGGAAATATGACTAAGAGATTAATTGTTTTTAGATTCATGTATTGATATCATAAAAACTAAAAAATTCTTTCATATCAGATAAATTTAAGATAATTAAATATTCAGAGTCATATTAAAATGATTCTGTATATTTTATTAATATTAAAACTTGTAGTTTTCACCTAAATGAACTTCAGTATAAATAGGAATTTACTAAATAAAATTAAACGATCCCTTTGATAATTATATCAATTACAACTTATTTGCAATAAACTTGAATTCTTGTAACACAAATTGTGTTCATGTTTTACATTCTTTAATCAACATCAAGTAATTTCCCCCCATTTTTCTCTCTGTAGTGAAACATTGAAGAAGTCAACAACCTGTGCGTGATTGTTGCCTTCAATTTGGTGCAAAACATCCAACTCATTAACTCGGCATCTTGGCTAGGTGGGAATTAATTATGCAGATTTATTCATTGTGTTGCGATTTCAAGTGTGGTAAAATGCAGCCCGGCTAATGAAGGTGTGTATGCCTGCCAATGACGGCGACGACGATGATGATGATGATGGTTATGACGATGGGATGGGATTGATGGGATTCGGGTTTTGGGTTTTGGGCTTTGGGCTTTCGGTGTTTGTGTTTTGGTGTTTGGCTTTTGAGTTTGGGCGGTGGCTGTGCCCAATTTTTGGAACACCCAAAAAAAAGCTCTCCAACTCCTCAAAGCGGCTGTCGGATTTTGGATCTTACAAATTAATCTCCGGAGCAATCTCTACGGCTTCCGCCCTGTGAGATACATTTGCTTTGGCAGCAAGCACTTTTCAACGGATTTTGAAAGTAAATTTCACTGATCATTGACCTCGGACTGTGGTTGCGTGTAATCGGTTGAGACCGAGGCCTGCCACTTGGGGATTACATAAATCCGAAATTAGTTAATAATAAATGAAAACTGTAAGCTGTAAACTGTGAAATGAGAAATAAGAAATGCTATTGTTCAATATATTGAAATCATGCCGTTACGTTTGAATAAAACGCTTGGCCGCTGCACTCGCCACTGCAGTTTTCCGCTGACCCGGGGCCATTTCGATAGCCGTAGCCGTATTTTTAGGCCCCTCCGGGGTTGGCCAACAAAATTGGCTTATGTAAAAAAAAATATTGCCATCGGTTACCATAAAGTGACATAAAAATTAACGGAAGACAAGGTGAGCGAACACACACTTTAAAATAATTGTCGAACTATTATCTTGTTGCTAAAAACTATAAATAAAGATGTACTTTTGCGTTAACAGTTGAGGTCACCAATTAACACTAATGTTTAGGACGTAATTCATTGTGTTTACATCTGCATCTTTAGCAAATATTCAATAATAATAATTATAGTTTTGAAATAAATCGACACTTACCATAAGGTACTCATATATTTTAGTTGGTAACATTACCTGAAATTAGATAAACATAAGAGTTAGTATTCAATAATTATAATACTTTATTCATATCAAAATATTGTAAACATTTTAACATTTTAATATTTTAAATTAGAAATAAACAAGAAAGAAACTTAACTTCGGAAAGCCAAAATTTTACATAGCCCTGCAGTTTTCACTTAATTATAGGATCAAATTGGAAATCAATCATAATTAAGCTTAAAATATTTAAGTTCCTTGAATAGATATTTTTTGATATTGTTATATGAATTATAGGATCAAATCGAATATCGATCATTACATAGACCTTGAATCCTTATTTATCGTTATTTTTATGACAATTTTAATGATTTTTCAAAGCTTTAAAAATCCATATCAAAGTCAAAAATGCAAAAATTTTAATTTGGAAAGCGTTCATATGTTAGTTTTTATTAGGTTAATAAATCTGCATACTCAATTAAAAATTTTTTAAATTAAAATTTTTGTTCAAAATTTTATCGATGTAACCCCTAATAAAATTTAAAAAAATCGGTTTTTGATTTTGATCAAGAATATATATGATTTATAGGTTCGCAAATGACTCCTTCACATATTTACAAGCTAATAATTATAACATTTAAATTTCTACAAGTCTCGAGGCATAGGCATAGCCTAGACCTTGCAGATCGGCCTAGTATCTGTCGCATTTGCATGTAACCTTAGTGAGCTTTATTGATTCTAGATCAATAGAGTGACAACTAGCCTCCCATTGCAATTAACGGCTGGACTTTCCACCGCACCCACCGAACTAGGTCGAATGGGGCTGCAGTTGAGCAAGGCGGCTTTGCATTTACAAATAGGCATAATTAAATGGATACCGTTCTAACGGACTCTGTGTGTGAATCGAAAGATTCCAGTCACGAACGCGACTCGCCGACAAATTACCAATGCACTTGCCAAATGCTCGAGAACCCGCTTTGGTCGGGCCAAATAAGCCAAACTAAAAGATAGCTCCCCCTTGATCGCAGCCCTGCCTAAATGTGTGTGTGTGAGCAAGTATCTGTGAGTGCTCGTATCTGTGCGATGCATGCACTTAACACGTGTGGTTACCGAGAAGGGAAAGAGGGGTGTCATTCGGGCCAAACAACTTTTCTTCCGCGTTGCACATGCGATGGCTGTGGCGATGGCGATGGCGATGGCTGAATGGTGATGGCGTTTCGCAGACTGGCGACTGTGGACTGCAGCCGCACCCACCCACAAATGGCCTGCTAAAATCAACAATTAAAAGCACCGCTCACAATCTCCCACCGATCTGATGCAATTTTGCATTTTCGAAATATCTTTTTAATTTCGCGCTAGCTAAATTACTATGATAGCTGGACAGAAGAATTCGTAACTGCTCCGACATAATTTGGCATTTGACTTGATAACCACGCCCCGTTGCACTTCCTCCCTACCCCTCACATAAATTCAGCTGCCAGAAGAACCCGTTTTCACGACCCCAAAAGAACCGGGAAAAATCTGGGCTTTGGCTCCTTAAAACAAAAAGCCAAACCAAATACCTAACTGGCCTATGAGTAACAAAACTGAAAGCGAAAGCATAACTGACAAGGTAGCTCGGTTGCAGTTTATCCGGCTGCTGTTGCTTTTGCACTTCTAAAACTGGTTCGCCGTCTGGACATGTAGGCAGCAGTGGCAAGTCTTCTAGCCTCCACTTCAATAACACACACAGAGCCAACTCAGGCAGCTCAACTCAACTGGGCTCAGCACCGAACTCAACTGAACTCGAGCCCAACACGAAAAGAAAAGAGGGGATACCTCCTAGGATCATAGTAGAAGATATCACTTTCAATGAGCAAGAAACTTGCAGATACTTTTTGAAAAAAAAAAATTGATTACTATCTAAGCCTCAAATGATATATTTAAAAAAAAAAGATAGCTAAAAGATAGACTTGGTAGGTTTCCTTCAACTGTCCTTTAACCTTGTCCCTTTTGTGACAGGCATCAGATTTCCTGATGCTACTTTCTGGACTTTGGGATTCGACTTTCCTCTCAGTGCATTTGGGTTTGACTTTTCATCAGCGGCAGCTGTAATTGTTCTGCAGCAGTCGCTGACTGTAATTTCATATTCTTCCTGCATTCCGAAACCTTGAATCACATTTCTTGCATTTAATTGCAGACATTTTTATTTCTTCTGATTTCTCCCCTCTTCTGGCCACTTGAAGGCGCCGCTGAGTGGCTGCCGTTGACCGCCGAGCTGGGTCATTTTTAATAGCCGCTGCTGCTGTTGTTGCTGCCTCTGCAACTGCAACAATTACACGAATACTCTACAAAAAATACAAAATAATAAACAACAAAGGATTGGCAGTCAGAGCAACTGGCTGGCCTACCTTTTACTGGCACGCACTGCATTCGAGATGACGGCCTGTTTTAAATGCCAGCCAGTTAGTTGAGTGAGTGAGACTATGGGCTAAATGGCTACCGCTGTCTGTGTTTACTTATTAACGCATTTATTTACATTTTACGGAGGGGAAAGAGAGATCGGAGCGAGTGCATAACTCGAGTTGCATTGCCGGCCACCGGTTGACCATCGCATTAGGAAATAATGCTAATACGGTGAATGTTTTGTAAACAGTATTAAATTTAATGCAAGTTATTAATTAAACAGCTCCTTAAACAACATAAATATATAATTAATTGTATGATCAAAGCTATAAAATATAAAATTAGTTGATAAATTTGATCATTTCCATGTGTGGCCCATGTGGCGTATGCGCAATTTCCAGATCACCTAGAAAAATGCCAATCGCGTGACTCATACGCAACTGAGGTGAAGTTCAGCCATGAATCTTAACTAACTATCTTGTGGATTGCACGATTGCCGTGCCCTCAGCCATGATTAGCTGCAGATACAAATTGAATGCTAGTTGCCCACACTTACACACACACACACACACATCCCTCTGAACTTTCAGGCAAAAATTCCATTTGCACCCCCACCTTAAAAAAAAAACCATAAAAAAATAATAAAGAAAAGGCGAAAAATGCAAAGCGCAGGCAGCAAAAGTGTAAGGCAAAAAAAACGAAGAAAAAAAGATCAATTGACAAATGGTTTGGGCCACAACAATAGACGCCGGCGTCGACAGCGACGCTAGCAGAGACCGCAGCAGAGGCTGCTCTCTGCCCCAACGCTGGCTGCATACGAAACCAGTAGCTCGGGGAAAAGCTAGAGAGAGATGGAGAGTGAAAGAGAGCTACGACTACGAAAAGCTGACTGCTACGAACACCGTTGCAATGTCGCTGCGCGCAGCTGCTGCTGCTGCCTCGGCCGCTGTCGCCGTCGCTGCCTCGGCCGGCGCATGGATTGTTCGCGACGCCGCGCATGCGCAGCGGTATAAAAAGCGGCAGCGCCAGCAGGCAGCCACTCACAGTCGAAGTCGTCGGTGCCAGAGGTGATTCTGCTTTCTGTTTTCTGTTTCTCAAGTGCGGTCCGTCGTCGGTACCCCCCACAAAAAAATTATTAAATAAATAAATACAATAAAACAAAAGACAACTCCTACTCGCCAAAATGAAGAAGTTTCTCGTGGTGTTCGTGGCATTATTCGGAGCCGGTATGTATCTCTTAGCTAGCTAAGTGAAATGGAAAATGGAAATAGAAATGGAAATGTTAATGGAAATGGTTGTGGAAAAGTTGAGGCGCCCAGCTAGCTTTTCCGCTTGCGCAACATGAAGGACACTTGAGTGCTGAGAAAATGTAGAGTGCAAAATCGAGAGTGTGCTTGTGCAACGACGGGTAAATCAACTATCACTGCTCCACTTTTACTTCGTATCCAAAAAACGAACTCGAAATCGAAATCAAAATCGACATCGACATCGAAAACGCAAAACGAAAAGCGAGACCAGAGGGAAATGTAATTTAATTGAGCAAGTCAGCCCAACCCAGGCGCATTAGCTTGCATTTTCCCCCTAATACAAAGATACACTTGCTATGCCTGTGCATAAACACACTCGGAGAAATTTAATTGAATTGAGATTTGAATAGGAAATCTGGGATAATATTTGTATTCATTTTCTAAATTAAAAAACTAAGGAAATTAAATAAATGGTATAAGGTTTAAATCAGAATTTTTGATTCCTATTCTATAGATACATTCCTTGATTGTAGTTCTTTTGAAAACCTTAACTTGCTTCTTATCGAGATAGTTAAAGCTGTAAATAACCATTTCTAATGATGCTCCCGTGATTTCCAACTTCAGTTGTGTGGGCTTTAATGGCTAGTTTTTTTTTCCTGTGTAATATCTGCAGTAACGAATCTCCACATCTATTGGTTTGGTGCGGTTCAGTTCGGTTCGATTTCATTACCTCATCGACGCCGCCTTAAAAGCTGGGAGAAGTTACAACAGAGACGATCGTCTGGCTCCGCTGCAGCTCGATTTTGCAATCGATCTCTGGTGTTGTAAGCGATATTTAGATCCGCGCTGCAGGTTATCTAATCCCAGTCCGGTTACGAAACTGGAGCGTTGGACTTCGTTTCGAGTTTCTGTTTTCAATTTCAGCTACCTTCGCAGAGGGTGTGGTCGGTCAATAGTTATGGCCACCGAAAAATTCGCAAATTCGCTGGCAGACAGACGAATTTCTGACATTGACATTGAAAAGCTTTTTAGATAAAGTCACAGAGCCAAGATGCTTAATGGATGAGATCCAATAAAAATTATAATGGCTAACTGGGCTAGGCTCTGGAATTTTAACTACACAACAGGCGTAGCCGCTCCCAAAAAAAATTAAAAACAAAAAAGAAAGAAGTTAACTTTAAGAAGCCGAAGTTTGTATACCCTTGAAGTTAATCATAGGATTTGGGTTTGATCATAATCCAGGCAAAAATGCATTACTTTTGATTCGGAAAGCTGTCCTATGTTAGTTTTTTTTTTTTTTTTTGGTTAAAAAAACTGCGTACTCCATTTAAAATTTAAAATATTTAAATATTTGATCAAATTCTTAAAAGTTTAACTATGTAACCCCTTATAAAATTTTGAAAAAATTTCAAAAATTTATTTTTTCTCCGGACATGCCTAGATCGACTTGGCTTTTAATGCTGATCAATAATATATATGGTTTATAGGACTAAAATTATAATACCCTGGAAGGGTATAAAAACTGAAATAAAGTCAAATCCGAAACCCGTTTGCATTTTTGGTTATTCAACTTAACAATTTTTGCAAATTGCGTGCCATGCATTTGTTTTTCTTTAGTTTTTTTTCGTTGCCTGCCAAGTCGTGCATGGCCGCAAAAGCAATTTCGCTGCTCAATTTTAATTGCCGGCAATCCAAAGTTATTAAACTTAACAACGGGCCGAAACATAAACGCTTTAATGGGCCCGTTTCGATGAGAAGCAGCCGCTGGAGCATTGTCAAGTTCAAGTTGCCATCAATTATGCAACGGCACTTGCTCATTTGAGCGCTTTTCACCTGCCCCCTTGTTGCGATTTACTTTGCCGTTTTGCGAGTTTAAAGCCCGCCCAGCGGCAAGTACGTCCCCTCCGAGTTTGGGGGTCGAAAAAGTTACAACAAGCCCGCTAATCACGGCGATAAACAATTTAAGCGTTGCAAAGATTTCCGAAAAAAAGAGCGGGCCGCAGCACACTATAAATTTCCGCATTTTGGTTGCGTCGTGCTGTGACTTTTGTTTTGTTTTGTTTTTCTATTGCTATCGGAAAACTAACACCAACCGCAGCTCAAAAAAATACAAAAAAAGAATGTGGCCAAAGACATACAAAATAAATTTTGCCATTTTTCTATTGCCACACACATAGACACAGCGCGGCAGCAAGTCACGCTTGAAAGGTTTTTATTTTGTGGCAACAAAATCAAACGAAAAGGGCCATTCGGCCGACATGCAACTGCAGCGGGGGGAGCGGAATTCTATAGGTTGCATTAGGCCAACACACACACACACACACAGAGAGTTACAAGGGCTGCGGCTATCTATGCTGATTTATGGCCAACAACAAGGAGAGCCAGAATACAAGGCTTTTAAAACTCAATTTGCATGCCACTTTTGGCACGGCACGCGAAGCATTGCAAATCAATTTTTCTGAAAGCGGCAGCGACGATGCGTTAAATTTGAAGGAATCATATCTATTCAGCGGCTAAGTCGCCTGATTGGGCTAAAAGGATTTATGGTACAGTTTGAAACTATAGCAGTGACGCAGGACTTTGCACTGTGGGAAATAGGGGGTTTCCTAAAAGGTTTCTTTAATGGTTTTTCATATATTTCATATTATTGTTTGCAGTTAAAGAACATTCAAGACTTTCTTCATATGTTAAATACATCAAATATAAAATACTATAGTTTCCTTTCCGCTCTGCATACAAACACTCACACTGGCCACTCAACAACTATCGAGAAATAGGCAAACAATAGACAAAACAATTCGAACGCAGATTAACCCACATACGAGGACATGTCGGCAAATATTTAAATATCATTACGGTGTTGGGTGGCGGTGCAGCAAAACGTATGCAAAAACTGTTTTTGGGAAGAAGGCAACATTTAGCGGAAATGCTCGAGTGCTGTCGTTGTTGTTGCTGCTGCCAGCCGGGTAAATACCAAACGGGCCAAAAGGCTCCACAACAAAACGTGCTTAAATGTCAGCAATTTTCTTGATTTATACGGCGGCAATGTCTTGGCGCTGTCTTGCCAGACAACAGTGCAAACAACGATAAAAATAACACCACAGAGCCCGACGCCGTCAGTTACGGGCCAGCAAATTTGCCTCAGCCAAAGCCAAAGCCACAGCCAAATGATAGATACACACACTTGTGCTGCCACAAAAAGAGGCAACCTGTGATTGCAACCACAGGAGCTAGGAGCGATTATGAGTCCGGATCCGGGACCCACAATGCCCCCTCATTGGATTTGTTAGCTGGCATGCCAAATGCTAATGCCCGGGTTCATTGCTCTGATACTTGTATTTATGGTCTGACAGCCCCAGTTGGCCGGCATGCAATGCGAATTTGTCATCATTTGTCATGATATCCTCGCAGCAAGGCGACACCTTCAAGTACCCCAGAATGCAGATAAGAAGTGCAGATACCAGAGCTATATATTTATAAGCTCTTTGAATTCCTACAGTAAAAATAATCAGGTTGAGGGATAAAACACACACAAACCTATTGTACACGACTCATTCGCATCTAATTACAGAATATGGCAATGGATTATTGACAACGCATATATGTATGCACATATATGAACAAATTGCAAAATTTGCTAACGCATCCATTTGGTTAATTTTAAATTATGAATTTATTTGCATTACCGTGTATTTGCATCTTGACAGTGTCTGTCATTTAAGTGAAACATAAATTAATTTCATTATATCGAGTTTTTGCCTAGAGCCGCTTAATAAAGTTTTGTAATTTGTGCGAGTGTTGTGTACATTTTTGGTTAATTAAATGATTATGTTAATGGACGAGCGGATGTACAAATGATAAACAGCAGCAGCAGCAAACGGAGGGGTCAGCCGATGCCAATGGTGTGCAATCAACCAGCGGGACCAATGCAAATGTCGGCTTTACAGTTAAAATGTCAATAAAAATGTATTATTTAAATGCGTATAAACACACATAACACACACTCCCCTCACCCGATCGAAAAAAAATGTAATTAAGCGCACCGGACTGATAGATAAAACAATTATGGCCAAACAGTAAATTAAATAACATGCAACACCAGGCAATCAGTCTAACTGGCTTATAAATAATGCGCTGGCTCACGTGGCGACTGCCGGCCGGGGGCTTATATCCATATATATAACATATATGTATATATACTCCATATTGCATTGGCATGCCGGTCAAAACTATTTATTTCCAAGGTGTGCCGCCGCTCGGCACCGTCGAGAACAAAAGACAGACTTGAGAGTGGGTTAGTAGTTGGTCTAGAATCTGGTCTAGCCTGGCTTAACCGGTTTTTTGGTCGAGAATGTGGGCTAGTAGCCTGGCTTTTTGCTTTGCTTTCATTTTCGTTTGGACCGCTAGCTTCTGGTGGGTTCTCCGGTCTTGCGGTTTTGTCGAAGGTAATTTAGACGTTATGTCATGCCGGCAGAATCTCGGCTCTTGTTAGATAATGGCTGAAAGCAGCGCGTGATATGGTTAGATGTTGTCTTTTCCACTTAAATTCTTGGCCAGCGTTGAGCTTTTTCTGGATTGGCTTTAATGAATCAGTCTCTTATGGGTCGTAAAATTTTTAAATTAAATGCAAAGACCAGGATTTAGAGCTTAATTATATACTTTTGACTAAAGATGGCATCTTTTTAAATGGAATTAATAAGCTTAAGCTTTTTAAAGAGTTCTATTTGATTTAATTTTGCAATATTTATCCTTCGTTTATCTGCCTTAAGGAAATATTGCGCATACGCACCGTGTGCCAGGTGCCTAAGTAATTGCTTAGAAAACATGTGGCAACGCAAACACACACTCACACACACACAGCTCTAAGTGCACAATCATCACCCAGATGTGTGTGTTTGTGTGTGTTTTGTGAAGGCATTAGGACTGCGGTTCATTCCTGTGGTTGCTGCTGGCAACAACAATGCCAGATTGCACTTTTTCCGCACAGTTGCAGGTGCAACGGTCCCTCTCTCCCGTTAACACTCGCTGGCTAAGTGCTCGGGAATGGCCATGGAATGTCCGGCTAATTGATGTCACAGCCAAATCTCATAACAGCCATAAATTAGAGTTCGTAGAATCTTAAAAGCAAAGCGTTAATAAATTCAAATTTAAATTGAAGCTGCGATCGAGAATCGAGCCCCAACTGCGTAATTAACGAAATTACAATAAACAAATGTGAAGCGTAGAACGCAGAACGAATAAACATCAATAATTCTTTTTTTTATTGACGCTTCAGAACTGGCTAAATGACTGACTAAGCCAACCATATATACATATGTATGTTATGTGTGATACTGCGTTTATTCGGTAAAAATAAATACGCAGCGAAAATAACAGTTTTTAATTAAGACCCAGGCATATAATTTTATCGATGCCCACCGTTTTGATTTATTCGACGCTATAGCAACATCACAAATGTGTCTAAAATTTGATATTTGATTAGTTTACACACGCACACACACAAAATGTAATGGGAATTGCACGTTGTTTATGCAGGCCATCGGTATCGGTTTGCTGATTTTTCCATGTTTCACTCTGGCTTACTTGTTTTTTTTTTCATTCAATTGTTGCATTCATGCGGTTACCCCCGTGCTCTTTTTGGCCTAAAATGCCCATGGCTGACGGGTCCTGGGTGCCGCAGGACTGAGTCCACGGCTTAGGCAATTGATGCGCACTTTTGATTGAACATTGAGCATTGGAAATGAAACGCGACCGCAACTCTGCGGCTTCGCAATTAGATTATCACACATGGCCCACTCACCGGAAAGTGGATATTTTGTTCATTTCACGAGAAATTCTTTTCAATGCCAGCCTCCGGGCGGGGTAATTATTTTTTGACTATTGCCATTTGATTTTCCATACCATACACATGTACAGTATGTATGTACATATATAGAAAATGCAGAAAATGCAATTCGGTGCCGGTGCAAATACCGCATTAGTTAGTTGTACAAATGCAATTTAGTTCGTTACGCTTTGCGGTGGCACTGAGCTCAGCTTCCACAGAGAGAGAGAGAAGTGATGCCACAAGGGGGGAGATAAGTCCTTGGTGGCGGGTTTCAGGTGCTGCTGTGACAGCAGGGTTCGGTGCAATTTCTTACCCCGAAAAAAATATAAACGGGCCAGAGAAGAACGGCGAACGAAACAAAAGTAAATGCAGTTGGCCCTGAGCTGTCAGCGATCCGAGTGTGCGATGCTGAAAGTTACCTTCGAGATTTATTGGCAACCGTCGTCTCTCTGTCAGACATCAGACTTTTTAAAGTGAATGCCTCTCGGGCCAGATGACAAATGGCCCTGCCCAGGCCATCGTCATCATCGTTGTCCTCGGTTCGCCTTTTGCCGTCATAATGATAATAAGCAGCATCTTGCCTACGTGTGTATCTGCATCTGGTTGGCTTGAACAGTTGCTGGGATTCCTCATCTCGTCGTCTATGAGTTTTTCTGTGACTTTTTCGGGGTTCATTTTTTAGTCCGGTCTCCATCTGTCTGGGTCTGAACGAGAGTCGCAAATGGAAGGGCACGTGGCAATCTGCCTATACACATATAAAAATAGCATTGCGAAGGGAATGTCTCAAAATTTGAGGCACAATCTGGTTGAATGTTGCAAGTGGAAGGGTAGAAACTGCTTAACTTGGCTATTTTTATAATGTTTTTTAATATTTAACCTTCTTTTCCTTTGCAGCTGTGGCCCAAAGTAGCTTTAAATGTCCCGATGATTTCGGATTCTATCCCCACGACACGTCGTGCGACAAATACTGGAAGTGTGACAACGGTGTCTCCGATCTGAAGACCTGCGGCAATGGTCTGGCCTTTGATGCCACAGACTCCAAATACCTCACCGAGAACTGTGACTATCTGCACAATGTGGATTGCGGCGATCGCACAGAGCTGGGTGAGTTAAACAATAGAATATTGACATAAAAAAGTCTCTAAAAGTATGTATTTCATCCAACAGAACCCCCAATTACCACTCCTCATTGCTCCCGCCTGTATGGCATCTTCCCCGATGAGAACAAGTGCGATGTCTTCTGGAACTGCTGGAACGGCGAACCCTCCAGATATCAGTGCTCCCCCGGACTGGCCTACGATCGTGATGCTCGCGTCTGCATGTGGGCTGACCAGGTGCCCGAGTGCAAGAACGAAGGTAAGTAAGCTCTAAAATGTTACTAACAGTCTGACTGATAATCGAATTAACTTTTTGCAGAGGTGGCCAATGGATTCTCCTGCCCTGCCGCCGGTGAGCTGGCCAATGCTGGCTCCTTCTCCCGCCATGCTCATCCCGAGGATTGCCGCAAATACTACATCTGCCTGGAGGGTGTGGCCCGCGAGTACGGATGCCCCATTGGCACTGTGTTCAAGATTGGCGACAGTGATGGCACTGGCAACTGCGAGGATCCCGAGGATGTTCCCGGATGGTAAGTGATTGCATTATACTTGGCTTTTTGTTAAGAATATCTCCAAGGCTGGCACCTGGTTTGATTGTTGTCTTGCTTTGCACACAGAAAATATTATTGCTCCAGGGTTAATTTGGATTGTAAAAATTGATATTTGGATTGAAAATCTGAAGAATAAATAGGTACACTAGGTAAGCTTTTGAGAAAAGGGGTCTTTGAATCCTGATATTTACATTTTTCACAGTAATGAAATTTTAATAATTAATTCAAAGACGTTTTTGATTGAAATATATTCGATCTATTTAGTTCTTGTTTCTGAAAAATAGATAGATAGATAGATATTTTTGTTTTGAATTCTAAATTCAGTTCGTAAATAAGTTTAGGGGTTTTTTTTTTGCCACGCTTGCACCTCTCTGCACCACATTCCTCACCCTCTTTGCTTTCACTGTCCACTTTCCACTCAACTCAACAGATCAACTGAAACAGATCGCATTTCACAGAACATATTCTCACATTATCTCACATATCTCTGGCCTATTCTGACATATCTCTTTACCTTGGTCCCATTTACAATTACAGCGAAGACTACTATGGCGATCTGGATTTGAAGAGCATCCGCAAGAGCGAGCTTCTAGCTGGATTGAACAGTGAAGGTCGCACTAAGGGCGCGCCCAAAACCAAAGCTGCCTCCTCCTCCTCCTCATAAACATAATAATTACAACTACAACTACAACAACAACAACCTACAACTTTAACAAACAATAACTAAAGAACAACAACAATACAACAAGATCAATCAACTCAGATCCCTAAAACCCATCCTGCCAATACTTCCCTCACATCACAAAAAAAGAAGAAACGAAAAAATGAAAAATGAGAAAATACTCAGCCAGCCACAAATCCTAATTCGAATTCGCATAAAAAAATCAACTCTTTTCCTGCCATTCTTCTCAGTTGACCTCTGTGTTTCTAATTTATGAATCTCCCCTCTTTTTCGTCTTTTCATCTGAGTCAAAAACTATTGCTCTATATCTCTTCATGTTTTAAATTTCATTTATAAATGTTGAGCAAACAAATTTCAAAATATCCAAATTGACTTGCAAAATTTAGGCTCGAAGATACACAAAATTTTGTAAAGGAAAATTAGAGAAGAACGTCGTGGAAAGAAGAGGAAAGCGTTCTAAATGAAGCGTAAAATTTAGAGATTTGTACATTTAAGTGATCCTTGTTTATAAGCTTATAATTTTATTTTATACATAAAAAACGAAAAACAAAAAAATATATTAAAAAACAAAACAAAACCACAAACTTGATCAGCTCTTTATGTGTGTCACATTTCTTCTGTCATCCATTTAACTTGTCATTTTCCGTTCAACTTTTGCCATCTTAAAGTGCGCGGAAAAAGTTTCGAGGGAAATAGAATTTTCCGTAAATTATTGTTTATGTGTGTGTGTTCTTGATTTCTTTTTCTTCACCAAAAGAGAAAAATGTTCTGACTTGTCGTTAGAGTCTGTAAATAATAAGTAAACATGAAAGTTTTGAGGCGCCCAGCCATATTTGCCGCAAATGAAAAGTTGGCTGGCATTTCGGAAGGACCAGGAAGTCTTTGCTGACGTCTTTTCAAATGCACAAGAACTTTGTTAATTATTCATTAGATTCTATAAACAAAAACGCGATACAAAAACTTTAAATGAATTTTCAAATTATCAACACAATTGCAGGCAGAACCGGCGGCACACTCACACTCACACAGTTACCAAACGTTTAAATGGGGAAAATGGGAAAGCGAAAACGGGGAAAAAGGGGAATTCGTGGGGCAGTGGCACCTCGACAGGGTCCCCCAGTTTTAGGGCTTGAATTCGGGTGTGGGGCTTCACTTTTGTCCCCACTAACTCATAAAAGCTGGAAACTTTAACTTTTGCTGCTTTATGCGAGTGTCTCTCGTCTGTGTGGGTGGGCCACAGAGAAAAATAAATAAAAAATAAATATAAATTGAAACAATAATAGTACAAAACAAGTCTTTGCTTACAGTCTCCTCGGAGCTATTAATAGTAGTAAAGAAATCTCAGTTACTGATTGAATATTTCTAGAATGTCCTTCTTAAATAATACTTTTCTCAGTGCATGCGAAACCTGTGCCTGTGTGCATTTATGGCTCTCTCTCTCACACACACACACACACACACTGGGAAAAAGTTTTAAAACTAATTAAATAAAAATTATAAAACTATACAAACTCAAGGCACAAGTTGTCGCTGCTTTTGGGGGCGGCTAAAGGACATTCCCAGCCCTCTGTGTGTGTGTGTGTGTCCCCATAAGCTCTTTTTGGCATAGAAAAGCCGCGTAAAGAGCTCTCTCGGAATTTTTGGGCAAATATGAACATAAAGTCGCCTGCATCCCATTCAGTTTTTGATGTTGCTCTTGGCTCAGCTCTTAATACCACCCGACAACGTTATCCTTGAAGGGGTGACCACCACACACTAACCACCGGATGTCATCTTTTACTTTAATATATTTTGAAATGCTCTCTGCAGCCGCCTTTGTTGTTGCTGCAGGCTGCCAGTTAAGTGCAGCAAGTAAGCAATCTTCAATTAAAACTTGCCCTGACCCATTAGGAGTCCTTTGGTACGCCGTGCGTCCTGCTTATGATGCGGCAAGCTAAAGTTAGTTGCACAAAAAAAATCCAACTCCGGGAATGCAATGCACATAAAAGTGTTTTATAAACACAAAAATGATTTCCACTCTGACAAAGTTGCACCGGCTACCAAGGCACTTGGAAAAAGCTTTTTTAGCTAATATTAAATAGTTTTCTTAGAAATAATCTAGCAAAACTAATACTCCAAAAACAGCTCCTTAATGATCCTAGTTGATTTTATTTTCTAGGTACTAACTTATTAAAAAGATAAGCCTTAAAGGGAGAAACAGAGTTGGTTTTATTCTTCGTGCGGTAGTCACTGGGCAACCACTGTTGAGTAACTGGAAAGTAACTCTTGACGGATAATAGCCGGTCTCTGTGTCTGTCCTCTTGGCAATGAAATCCTTTTAACATTTTGACTCTAATTAATTTTAATGATGATATAAACGCACAGGCAGAACATAAAACTAGGGGGCAGGTTGGCTCACTGCGACTGTGAAAAGTTATGAGCCGGCAACTGCTTGTCAATATATATAAACTTATATACAACAGTTGAGGTCTCTGGGTTTACTTGGCCAAGAAAGCCCCGAATAAAATAGAAACGTAAATAAAAGAAAAACAATTTTGGTCCACTGAACAAGAGCCATATTTTGCAGCTTACACCCACCGCGCCAACCATGATCCGCGTCTTCATCAGGAAGCCGGCGGCAGAGGCGGCTAAGCCGCAACATTTATGGTGCTGACTTCTCAACAAGGACCCCAGTGGCTGTCCTTGGTTTTTGGTCAATTCCATTTAATTTAATTTAATAGCCTTGCGCTTTTTGTCATTCGCTCCCCAGATCCGCACACACACACAGTGCGCATTTTATATGAAGCCAAGTTCAAATGCACATTAAGAAAAAAGGGAATGTATACAAAATATAAGAGAATTTATAGAATCAATCTTTTAGGTCTTGAAATTTCTGGTATATATCTATAACATCTCTATAGCAATCTATAAAAATCTAAAGAAAAGTTATTAAATCCAGCTAATGGTATAAAGTTTATCTTCAAGTGTGTCTGATGAAAGAGGCAAAAGGACATGCATGTCCTGGCAGCAAGAGGCATGCCACGTCTCCTCGCATCGCACTCATCCTTGTTGCTTGCGCTTTAAAGGCAATTTGTTGTTCGCTGATAATGTTGTTATTGCGGCCAGAAGGCAGCCAAACCAGCTAGCGTCTTTTAATCCTTGACGTCCTGTTGCTTTGCTCGCTGGCTCTTTTTTCGTTTTCGTTTTATCTGGCCAGGCCACAAATCCTTGTGTGTGTGTACGGAGAGAGAGCTGCCCCTTCGCGTTCGCGGAACTCGTAACAAGATTTTAACAATATTATTTTTAATTACGGTTTTAATAAATATTTCCTTTGTCAATTTACGACACAAACCAGCAAGCAAAAAAAAAGAATACAAAAAAACAGGATGCAGAGACAAGGAAACCCCGGGGAAAATGAATCAGGAGTTGGACTCGAAAAAATAAAAATTCCTTTTCTTTACCTAATCAAATTCTGTTGACTTGTTAACCATGTACATGCATACATCGCATAAATTCCTTAGAGCGTGACTGGCAAGACACAAAACAATTTAATTAAACAAATCAGAGCCTGGGCCCAAGGAAACCCCTAAAAAACGAAATGTTATTTAACAAGGAATTTTTTTTATATACATATATACTTAATACTTCCCGTTTCTCCTTTTTACAGCGAGGATTACTATGGCGATGTAGACCTGAAGGCTTTGAAAAAATTGGGCTATTAAAAGTACACACACACACATACTTTACACACACATACATCATGGCAGTTTTTGGGGGCTGAAAGTCAAGAAGAAGAAGAAGAAGAGAGAGGCGACACAAGGAGCCAAAGGATGGAGGAAGGATCAGGAGAAAACCACAATAACAGTGGGCTTAAAATGCTTGCCAAACACAGACACAGATACAAACACCACTAAGGAAAAAATATTCAAGAATATGCCTGACTTTAAATACTTAGATTCAGATTAACTTATACGACTCTAAAGCTCCTAAACAGCAAATATTAATTATGTACAAATTTAATTTGAAACCTAAAAGTCAGCGAGTCAAGCATATAAAAGACCACAGCATTGTTTTAAGTGTACCACAAGCATTGAGCATAAAGTATGAACACAAAATACATAAGAATCGTACAGTTTACTTTAAAGACTGAGCACCGAATAACCCCCAAACCAATAGCCCAGTGAGAAAATAGTCGCACATATCTTAAAGTTGAAGAAACAACTGAGATTAGCTCCGGATCGAAGAAGAACTCCGAGATACCTTTTCTGAAGGCGGCAAATTCCGCTTAAGTCAAATTTAACTTATTTAACTAAATACTCAAGAAACCACACTCCACACAAACACACACACTCTCTATTGTATAACTTTCAATGTACATATCTAGATGCAGTTTAGCTTTTAAGTTAACATTTATGTAAATGCGAAATAAAATGAAAATTTTTGTTTAAACCTAAAGCTCTTTTGCAAATATTATTCCTCCGTCCCTCCATTCGAATGCCAATCCGGGCAACGACTTTCCTTTTATTTATTGGATTGCACTTGCACCCAGGCTGCACATATATTTTAATCAGCTGAGTAGGAGCTTGGATTTTTCATTTGGCACTTTCCCAAAGCCCAGCTCTCTGGGCCACAATTTACTAGGCAAACCGCAAAACACAACACGCATACGCACTGTTTGCCAGGCGAATAGCAGCTGAATGCCTTAAACCAAAAAAGAAAAACAAGTAAGTAAACAAAGGCGCACAAAATATCCAAAACTCTCTTTTGCAAAATTGATAATTATTGGAGACCCGGACTAGGAGCAACAGCAGGCAGCCAGGCAGCCAAGAGGAACAAAAGGGGCAGCAGCCTTGCACACAAAGGCCGCGCGGGGGGCGGTGGTCGATGGTCGGTTATCGGTGGGCGGAAATGGGGTCGAGCCAGGGGGCAGCTCTAACGACGCACAAGTGTAACATTAGCCTATGAAAAGATTGAAAAGCGGCAGCAGCAACAACAAAGGGGGGATGTTGCATGCTGCAGCGGGAAGACATGCTGTTGCATGTTAATTGAAATCAATAAGTGGAACACAGCCACCACCCAGGAGCCCCCAAACCCAGTGCCATCCGCCTGGCTATCAATACGTGCACTGAGAAATATAAAGGGGTTATTTAAAAAGTGATTAAATAGGGGAATTTTGTATAGTTGAGTTGGATTATAGATCCTGTTGTTAGCAAAGTACTAAGTATATAGTCCTTTATTGATTTTTGTAAATATAACTGAATACATTTTATGGTTATATCAACCTTCATAATATTTGCTGGCAGACTTACTTAGACAATCTGTTAACTATATACAATGAATACAAATAATGTTTTTAATAGTGTTGTGCTACTTTTCTCTCTGTGCATTTGCGGCTGTTTGCTTGTGTGTGTATGGTCACAATAGCGACCAGACGCCTCAACCAACAACAACAGCAACAAAGGACGAGAGCAACAGCAACAGCAACAGCAGCAGCAACAACACAATGGTTAGTTATCGAAGTAAATGTGGTAAAGTAAATTATTTGCCCAACGGCTAATGACAATGGCATTGGCAACTACAACAACAACGTCAATAGCAATGGCAGCAACAAAACAACAACAACAGAAGGCAACAAGAACAACAATATAAAACATGGCCAACACTCACATATCCTTTTTTATTTATTATTTAGGCAGATGGCAGTTGCATTTTTCCCAGTTGCCAGCTGCTGTTACATTAGTTGTGGACTCGGCCAGACGTAAATTATGCATTGCAATTTTTAGAATATTTCTATGGCCACAACACACCGTACACACACGCACAGAGAGAGAAAAAACCAATTAGCAAATTGTCATATTTTGGTATGGTTCCATTTTTAATTTATTTTATATATATTTCATTTGATCGTTGAGCGTTGCAAGTTTGCACCCCTTTGTTTAAATAAATTGATAAAAAGTAATCACTGAAGATTTCAAGGGATTATTATATCAAAGGAAACTTGAAATTATTAAATTTCAATTCAGCTAACATAAGAAACATATATGCCAATGGATTCTGTTGTAATAAATATACAACAGCTTTATTGTAATATAATTTATAATGAGGCAAGGCATAGTTTCCTTACAATCTTTCTCTCTCTGCAATCCTATCCTTTTCACTACGATCCTGGGGCTGTCTTGCCTGGCTTTTGCACTGCCCTTTTCCTGGCCAGCGACGTGATGGCAATTACTCCAACTCCGAGACTTTTGGGCCCTAGGTTCAGTTTAGTTCAGTTCAGTACAGTTCAGGACAACCGGAGCCATCGGCAACAACAACTGCCGCAATGCAGTTGCTTGTAGTTGCTGCTGCAAATGGCTCGTATAACGTGCAAAAACTGCAATTGCAACAACAAAGCAAAACGCAACAGCAGCAACACAACAGCGACATCGGTAGCAGCAACATCAGCAGCAGCAACAGCAGCAGCAGCAACAGCAACAGCAATACACGCCAAATGGCAGGCAAAGAAAATTATGCTTGCAATAGCCTTTACATACCTAAGAGTGTGTATATGTAGCAGTGTGTCGGGTGTGCCAAATTTATTCGCCAATCGTCGCTTGTGGTGGTGGCCAAGGGGCCAGAGGTCACATTTTCATTTCAAGCAACATCAAAGGCGGACAACGAGAATAAACAGCCCGTGTAACCGAATGTAGGGCGGGGCAATCAAGGTAAGTGCATTGCGAATGGCTTTCAATATAAGATATACCGTTGAAATCATATTGAACTTAATCAATTGATCAAATGAAATCGACTAGAAGTTTCCTTGAACTCAGAGACTGCATTATACCACATATATCACTGCACATATATCACTTGTATGATGTAAATTCTTATGGAAACCCTATACTTCCCTCTATATATCCTTCTCAAGCATTCGTCCTTTTCGTGAAAGCTTATCACACTTCACGCAGGCCTGGTACCATCCATTCGAGTCATCTTATTCATTGGTCATAGCAGCCAAGCCCGGCTTGATTCAATAAAAATTGGCTTCCAGTGGCCATTGTTGAGCGGGCCACTAATGCGGCCCAGTCGGCAAGTACTTCTTCGAATAAGTGGCAGCATCGCAGCAGCAAAAAAATGGTTTATTCGCAGCTTCCTCTTCCACTCAGGGAAAAATGTTGCCAAAGTAAACAAATGCAATAGAACTTTTAATAGTAAATATTTGCTATATGCTTTAGAAGAGCTTAGAAAGTCATTGAAATTTTGTATTACTTTATAATTAAGAAACTATCCTTATCAAATTCACTTTTTTTCGGTGTAATTTCATTTCGTTTCCTTCCATGGCATGGAATGCAATGACAATGGCCCTGCCCAACGCTCAGTGCCCGACTTTGCCTGTTCGGTGTTCAATACGCTTCATGACAACGGCGACGCGAAACCGGGCCCAGACATTGCTTATTTTTATTTGCCTGGCGAGGACTAATGCCCAGCTGCAGCAGCAGCAGCAGCAGCAGCAACAGCAACGAGCAATGCGCTCTAACGCCCTTATCCTTGTAACGACTTTGCCGCTGCGCTTTTGCGGTTGACCGCATTTGCTGGGAAAAATCTGTTGCTGCCAAAGCAGTGGCCACTGCCACTGCCGCTCTTGACCGAGTGGAGCTATAAATATCTGCGATAGCGAAATGCAATTACGTGGCAACAATGAATACAGCGGCAGCGATTGCTCGCTCTGCTGCTTGCTTTTCCAGCTTTTCCCCCGATTTCCCGACCCCTACATCCGGCAATTGACAATGATGATGTGTACGTAGTTTTTGTCTTTCCTCCTGCGGGCAAAAAGGGAAGTTTCTGGAGGGCTTGGAATGAGGACATCTCTGAGTATGGTATTTTTCTACAACATTTTTCTGCATTGTTGGGCGCTCTTCATCTCCCAGCTCCTGTCTGAAGGAGCGATACATTGGCTGCGTTTTTGGTGAATTTATGTGCTCCTTGCGGAGGGTTCAATGGTGGCCATCATAAAATATTGAAACTGGCAGGGAGCGGCAGCCTAGATACAATGTTACTTAATGTGCTCTGCTTATGCTGCGTATTTCGATAAGTTTTTACATTAAATTATGAAATTGTCGCACCTTTTGGAAAGATGGAAATGTACAATTTAATTGTCATACAGACTCCCTGGAAACACATCAACTAAACAAAAAGGAATCGAGGAATGTTGATCAACTTAAAGCTAGAAAACTCTAATGATCCCAGAAGGGTCCTTCGCACTTTCCCACTTATTTGCCCAAGGAACTGAAGTGCGTGGGAGCGAATAATGGAGCGCAAAGTAATTGCCCAAGGACTCTGTCTAACAATGGTTTCTGCTATTAACTCGACGCATACCAAAAAAATAGCAAAGGGGGGTAAGAGACGGTGGCACATTCCTTGGGTCAGCCAACTGGCCACCAATCTCCCAATGGAGTGGCCCATAAAAACGGCAATTTTTCCAGTTGTCAGCGGCAAATGCGTGGCTTAAGTTACGGCGATTGGCTGACAGTTGACACCCCGGACCCAGTCGCATAATTACATTCCCTCGATTCTTTTGCTCCATTTCTAGGGGCAGACCTGCCCCTCTACAGTGTGCGAAATATATACAACGACCTTGAGGGATAATATTTCTTCATGTTTTTCCTAAAAAACACGATATAAGGTAAATTAAAAGTAAGAACAATTGGTAACTTTTTAAAGAACCTTTATGAAATACACAAATCACAATCATAGTTCTTTTAAAATTGTACTGTCATAAGAAATCTACACTAATATATCAAAATATAATATATTATTAAACTCTCTATTCTTCAGGAAAATGTTCTTTTTGTGTATAAACCGTAGCAATTGTAAGTCATTTGAAAACAATTTTGATTATATTTTTTCCAAGCGATTTCACAAATCCGTTTTATGCTACATCCCGTCCCTTTATCGAGGAAAGAGAGAAGTACGTTTTGCGTATGGGTAGTTAACAACATGCCCCATAATAATAACATACATTTTCACCCTCCTCTCTTACACCCACATCATCCGTTTGCCAAACGAAATGTTTGCTGTAAACGACCTTAAAAAACGAAAGCCAACCATCGAAGTCGGAAAAGAAAGACGACGAGTGGCAAAAACAAACAGAAATGCCTGAACGCATAGAGAATTAAAGCTACTGAATTTGGTAGTTGTTTCTATACCCTGTAATCGTAGAGTTCTGTATTTGCTCTATAAATTATATACTATAAAACATAGTGTGTTAAGGTTGTAAGTATATCTATTTGAGGTCCAGAATTTGAGATACTTTATCTTTAAAATCAAAAACACTGATTTATAAAAGCAAAATAGTTTTGTCCCAGAAATTTAAGTTTTCATCTATATTAAGAACTAAATCCCGGGTATTTTGAGGTCGTGCCTGTCCTTGTCAAGAGCATTATTACTTGTTATTTTTTCCGTTTTCTTGTTGCTCC